TTCCTGGGTTCTGATCCCAGGGATGCCGACTTTAAGCAAAATGACAGCTTCTGTGCCATAGGTCATGGCAAAGGGGGATTTCCCTGTTAATCTTCTCGGCGTAGTTCGATATGCCCAGAGCACACTTGGTAACTCGTCCACCCACTTTCCTTTTGCTGCCTGGAGCCTCTTCTTTATTCCATCCAGGATTACTTTGTTGGATGCTTCTGCTTGCCCATTGCTTTGAGGAAAACTTGGTGTTGAGAAATAATTCTTGATCTTGAATTTTGCACAAAAGTTTTTGATAAGTTTGCTGTCGAACTGTGTCCCGTTGTCGGCAACAATTGCTCTTGGAATCCCAAATTTGGTGATTATGTTTCTCCAGGTGAGGCCTTGGTGAGAAAACCCAAGAATGCTGCCGAAGCCAAGTCCCCTCCTCCTACTGAGCAGGTTATGGACTTAACTCAAGATGAGGGGGGTGATGATGCTGAGGAAGTGCCCAGGGAGTCTGTTCAAGGGTATCTATCATCGGACCTCCTTCTGACTGAAAGAAGTCTTGACACAACATTGGCAGGGATAGATGTCGAAATACAAGCGGAGAAAGTGGCCGAGGTGATTCCACCTGAATCATCCGAGGTCCCCGTTCCTGCAGTGGCTGATACTGAAGAATCTTGAAAATGTTTTTTTTTTTTGTACCTTGTTTCCTTCTTTTTCTGTATTTTGTACTTTGTACTTCTTTACTTTCTGGATAATGCAAACTCCTTCTTTTGGCTGATGTGGTTTGCTAGGCAAGAAAACCTTAGAATCACCCTAGCCGACCTTCAATATTGCTATACCATGTGTCCTCTTGATCTGAAGGATAGGGGTTTTGTCTATTACCTTAAGCCGAGATCCACTCAGTACAAAATTATAGCCGACCTCCCAGACTCCAACAAGGGGGCTGGAGATGATTTTCTCATTGCTTCTGGAAATTGGGAATTTGGCCCAGATGAAGATGTCCACCTCTACCCTCTTCCTCGAACACTTACAGAGGGCAAGAGTAAGAGCCCTGAGTCAACACTTAATTGTTTTTACTTAGGACTTTAAATACTTTTTGTTTCTGACGTCTGTTTCTTTGCAGATCTTCATCAACCACCGAAAAATTTTCGTCAATCCTTCTTCCCAGGACCAGATCTGAGAACACTTCTTGGCTTTCCAATCCTTAAACGAAAAGCCCCAGTATTATTAAACTTTGTCCCTACGTACAAATCCACTTTACCCGACGTCCCTCGAAAAAGGAAGAAGAGTCTCTCTCCTCCTACAGCCACAACCTTAACTGCTTCTACATCTCGGACAGATCAAGAGTCCACATCTGACCCAGCCGATCTTCCATCAACTTCGGCCCCCTTCTTGATACCAATTCCTGAACGTAAACGCTGACGAAGGCTAGTGAAGACTGCCGAGATGGTTCGTCCGAGGCCTGTCGTCCAAGACCTTCTCGCCGATCTTCCAACTGATGCCGAAGCCGCACCGGTGCAATCAATGCTCCCCCCCAAACCAAAGAGAGTAAAAAAGGCGCAGCCTAAGGCCAAGGCTATTGATGCCGAAGCTGAGGATACTGTGCCTATTTCAAAGCTGGCAGAAAGCAAGAAATCAACCTCTGTCTCTACCAAGAGGTCTGCTGAGGGCCAACCCTCAGGGTCTACACAAACAAAAAGGCCAAGGTCATCGTCTGCGACGACCTCGGCTTCGAAGAAGCCCGACGTCCCCTGGGCCCCTGATCTATCCCTGGAGGATAGGCCTATTATGGCTAGTGAGAGTACTGACGATATTAATGTTGCTGTCGCTCTTAGCACTGCTCTCCTTCTACCAAATGACTTGGAGCGAAATGCCAAGTTTAGTGAGTATGAAAATTACGCCCTGATGCTCCAACATTCTGCTCAAGTAAGTATTTCTGTTTGTATTTGTGTTTTTTCCTTTTGTTTCTTTCCGAGAAAATTTTCTGACACTTCTGTTTTTATTCAGGCTATCCAGCATGCCCATTCATTTTCAATGCAATCTTTTGAAAATCGTCAAAGATTGGTTGATATGAAGAGGGAAACATCTTCACTGAAGAGAGAGATAAGGGCCCTTGAAGCAAAGATGAAAAAACTGGAGGATCAGGCCGAGGCTGCAACGAAGAACCATACCTTAGCTCTAGAAAAGGCCGAGGCTGCTGAAGCCGTTAAAAAAGTAGCTGAAGCCGAGAAAAGGGAGGCCGAAGCTCAGAAAGTCCAGGCGCAAAAAGAACTTCAACAAGCTCTGGCCACCAAGGAGGCCGAAGTGAAAGAGGCCGATGAAAAGGCCTATGCTCAAGGCATGGCCGACGTTGCAGAAGACTATAAGCTTCAAGTCAGGCAGGCATGCAACAGGGGATTTTCCCTTGGTTGGATGTCCTTGATAAAGAAGCTTGACCTTCCTGCTGACTCGCCATTGCGTCAGGCCGACGCTATTCCGTTACCGTTTCCTCCTCCTCCTCCTGAAGGTGAATCAGAATCTGAGGCCGAGGCCGTTGATGAAGATGAAGAAAAAGATGATGGTGACGCCCTGGTGAGAAGGCCCAAGAATGCTGCCGAAGTCAAGTCCCCTCCTTCTGCTGAACAGGTTATGGACTTGACTTTGGATGAGGAGGGTGATGGGGCTGAGGGGGTACCCAAGGAGACTGTTACTGGGCAACTACCGTCCAATCTTCTCTTAGTTGAAAGGAGTGTTGAGTCAACAATTGCTGAGATTGATGCTGAGGTAGAAGCGGAGAAAGTGGCCGAGGAGATTCCACCTGAATCGTCCGAGGTCCCAGTTCCTGCTGTTGCTGATGTACAAGAATCTTGAAAATTTGTCCTCTGTACTTTTTTCCTTCTTTCTCTGTATTTTGTGCTTTGTATTTTCTTTTTACTTCTGGGTAGTGAAAAAAAACTCCTTCTGATGGCCGATGTGCCCCCTTTTTATATGTAACTGGAATTGTTCCTTTTATGAATGCTTTTATCTTGTAATGTTCTGTCGACTGCTTTCCGCATATTCTTGTACTTAGGAAAGTTTTTTGTATGCTCTTTATGTTGCTACCTTTGTGCAATCTTCTCGGGGTTTCATACCTCGGGTAAAAACATAAAACTTTTACTTTGGCAAGTTACTAGCCTGCAAACTCTTCATAATTTTCAACAAGTATAAAACATATATTTCGGAATGTAAGCTTTGCAAGTTTCTTCCTTATTCTTAACAAGTTTGTAAATTGTTACAAATTTCAACAAGTAATGAACAATATACTTAGCCTGTATCTTTCTGTATACCTCTGCGGGTGATCGTATGTCGGCTTAACATAAACTTGTAAATTGCTACAAATTTCAACAAGTGTTAAGCATCTTCCCTGGGGTTTAGGCAACCCACACATTGCTATTTAAGCAATAACCTCGGCCTATCTTTGACTTGTAAATTGTTACAAATTTCAACAGGTAAAGATAAGGAATCATCTTAATTCCAACTTATAAATTGCTACAAATTTCAACAAGTGAATTAAGGAATAACATAGGCCTAACTTCAACTTGTAAATTGCTACAAATTTCAACAAGTAAATTAAGGAATAACATCAGCTTAATTCTGCCTGAGTTTGATATGTCTTCAAAAACATCCATGCATAACTTTATCGATCGCACATGTTGAAAGGATTCTGAAAAGACTTTATTGATAATATCGGCCAAACAGAGATGTTTATCTAATGAAAGAAAAATTTCAAATTACAAGTATTCCAAGGTCTGGGCAAAGCTTTGCCCTCATTATCCTCAAGCCGATATGCTCCATTGCCTAATACTGAAGTGACTCTGTAGGGTCCTTCCCAGTTTGGGCCAAGCTTGCCTTCCCTGGGATCCTTCTTGTTCCCGACGACTTTTCTTAGGACTAGGTCGCCGACTTGAAAATCTCTTGGATTAACCTTCTTGTTGTAAGCTCCGGCAAGCTGTTGCTGGTATACTGCGAGCTGAATTGCAGCCTTCTCTCTTCGTTCTTCTAGTAAATCCAGGTCTCGGGCTAAAAGTATGTCATTGGTGCCATTCTCTACTCCCTGGGTTCTGATCCCTGGGATGCCGATCTCCAATGGGATGACTGCTTCGGTGCCATAGGCCATGGCAAAGGGGGATTCTCCCGTTGATCTTCTCGGCGTAGTCCGATATGCCCAAAGTACGTTGGGCAGCTCGTCCACCCACTTTCCTTTTGCTGCTTGGAGCCTTTTCTTTATTCCATCCAGGATTACTTTGTTGGACGCCTCTGCTTGCCCATTACTTTGAGGAAAACTTGGAGTTGAGAAATAGTTTTTGATCTTGAATTTTGCACAGAAGTTTTTGATGAGTTTGCTGTCGAACTGTGTTCCGTTGTCGGCAACTATTGCTCTTGGAATCCCAAATCTGGTGATTATGTTTCTCCAAATAAAATTCTTGACATCCACATCTCGGATTTTGGCAAGAGGTTCTGCCTCTATCCATTTCGTGAAGTAGTCTGTTGCTACCAGTAAATATTTTCTTTGCCCAGTTGCCTGGGGAAGTTGTCCCACCAGATCCATGCCCCATTGGGCAAACGACCAAGAGCTGGATACTGGGTTCAGGTCGGCAGCTGGCTGATGTATCAGAGGTGCAAACTTTTGACATTGCTCACACTTCTTTACATAGGCTTCGGCATCCTTTTGCATGTAGGGCCACCAATACCCTTGGGTAATGGCCCTATGGGCTAACGATCTGCCCCCAGCATGGCTTCCACAAATTCCTTCATGAATCTCATAAAGAAAATCTTCAACCTGCAAAGGGTGTACGCACCTTAAAAGTGGTCCAGTGAAGGACCTCCTGTAGAGATGGCCTTCCGCTGTTAGGCTGAATCTGGCCGATTTCAGCCTAATTTTATGTGCTTCTTTATGGTCTGCTGGCAGCTTCCCCTCTTTTAGGAATGCAATGATTGCATCCATCCAGCTTGGTCCAAGGCCCACGCACATTGCTTCTTGTTCGGTGTTCTGTTTATCTATGCTCGGGGCCGACATGTAGTCGATCATAATTGTCCTTGTTTTTCCAGTTTGAATTGAACTGGCCAGGTTGGCCAATGCGTCGGCGTGGTGCTATATGTGAAGGCTGACTTGGAGTAATCTGCAGTTCTGGAATAGGGCCGCCAGTCGGATGACTTCCTTTGCATATGCCGACATTCTTTCGTCTCTGGCTGCAAATTCTCCTGTTGACTGGTTAACAATAAG